GGCCCTGGGTTGCCAATACAGGACGTCGATTTCTTCCGACGAATATATAGAGGCTCCTTTTATCCCTCCGTAACCCTTGCGTCTTCGCAGAGCCCAAGGACACGCCGTTTTGAGAACAACCCATGGCTTGCGCTAAATCCTAATGGAGACCCATGATTAATAAACCCCCTTCTTTTAGGGGCCTTAATATTTGAATTTCTATTATAATCCCTATATAAGCCCAACTAACCCCTATATATTCCCTAGTTTCCATTTTATTTTCCATTTTCTTTTCCATTTAATTCTCCATTATTGTGGTTATAATCCTTATTAAGAGGAGGGGGTTTATTAATTAGGGTCTACATTAAACCCTCAACCTTGAGCGGGAGGGCTCATTGAGAAGGACCTGACGGAGTCTTGGTTTTACGGGTGCTTGAAGGCCCGCTATACGTACCGCTCAGCTGCAATAAATTATGGATTCAGGATTCAGGGTTTCGGGTTTAGGGTCTAGGGTAACCCCCAAAACTACACTTACCCTGGCTGCATTTGGATTCTGAGTTCAGATTGCTAGGTGTGTTGTAAATACAGCGAGCAGGCAACAACAATGCGGATTGTCTTAGGCTAATGTCCTTCTCTCTCCTATGCAATGCCCGTAAATTTTACCAACCTCTATCGGTAGACCCACGCATAATCCCTGCAAGCTGTGTAGTATTCATGAACGTCCCACAAATTCCGACTATCAAGCTACTTGCATGCAAAGTCCGAGTGGCCAAGCAGGTCGGAAGGTCTCTTCCCGCAATTATATACTATTATAATAAGGGTATATACGGGGTATATAAGGATACATAGGGCTTAGGTTTATCCCCCGAAAACGGAGAATCAAATGGAAATTACATGGAAGATGAAATGGAAACTGGGGGAATATAGGGATATACATCTACATTAACCTCAGTAAAGCCTGGAGGACAGCGACTTTTTCTCTCCTTTGCGATTGCTCATGCGTAAGCGAATCAGCTTCCTCCGGGAGAAGAGGCTTTGCAAGGCAGGACAAGGGGTATTCTAGGAGTTTCAGCTAATGTTCATCCAGTTTACCGGGGTTGAAGCGACCCCCTAACACCTAGGCTTGAGGGAATTCAGCTTGAAGGATTTAAGCTTGCTTGAGGGATATGTCCAGGTCAGCAGGGTCGCAACCCCCAGAAACATCCCCATCAAAAGCCCTCAACATTATGAAGTTGCATGTACATTGCCTGCACTATGTGGTAGGACTCAGACCCTACAGCCGGGCCACAAAGCAAACCTCCATGGTCATCATCAACCCCTAGTAATGAAATGCCCTGCGCCCCTCATCATACGTGTTCCATCTACCACTTGGAGTACTTACTACCCAGGAAGTCCAATATGCTTTAATTAGAGAATATAGCCTAAATCACATTAGGGATCTCTAGTATAATCCAGAGTATATTCTCTAACTAAGGGATATTGGACTTCCTGGGTAACTTTTCATCCTGAACTCAGTATATTGGGGCCGGGGAGTGTTCGTTTATTGGGGAAGGGAAACGTTCTGAGTTCGGTTGTGCTTTCAGATCGTCTCAAAGCTCTGGGTGCTGGAACATGGGAGCAAGGGAGACGCGGTAGAGGGTTCAGGGTTGAGGATTTATATAGTGTTTATGCTCATTTTTCCCCAACTGGCTGGGTCCACTTGAAGATTATCATGCACATTCCACCTTGAAATAAGACACAGCCAAAACCCTTAACCTACAATCGTTTGACTTACCTCTGACCTTCTTAACCCTAAACAGGAGGAAACTAAAACAAACACTCTAGGAGCCTAAGTACCTACCAAGATGATTCTGAGGTCTAACGGAGGTACCCTATACCAGATCTATGTTAGGGTTTAGGGTTTAGGGTTTGGGCTTAGGGTTTGGTGTGTACGGTTTACGAGTATCCGAAAATCTAGGACCATGGGACTTGGAATTGTGCAGGCTTACAACCCCTATACCCACCCACTTGTCACAGACTTTCCATGTTCTCAGCCATTTCAGTCTCCTACCCGATACCCTAAACACTGATTCCTGGTTTGGAGTACACCGCAGAAAAAAGGATAGACTTTTTAGGTATCAGTTGTTATAACAGGAACCCACGAACCAAACAAGTATTAAAGTGTAGTACTCCAATCCTCGGTAACTGTTCACCTGCGCCAGAAAATTCCAAGCCCGACAGCTCTAACTACCTGATGGCTACAACGGGGCCCTCACTTTGGGGGTAGGGGTTCTCAACAATCCTAAGAGCACAAACTTAAAGTCTTCCCAAACCCCTAAACCCGAAACCCTAAGCCCTAGCCCCCCAAACCTCAAACCCTAAACCTCCAACCCTAAGCCCTAAGCTCCAACCCTAAACCTCCAACCCAAGACCCTAAGCCCTAAACCCCTAAGCCCTAGACCCTAAACCCGAAACCCTAAGCCCAATGAGCTTCAGGTCACCACTGCCCGTTGCCTCTCCACCCGTAGGATGACATAGGAGCTCCATCCTCTAGGGGCTAGGTGTTAGGGTTTTAGGGTGTTGGGGTGTTAGGGTTTAGGGTGTAGGGTTAGGGTTTTGGGGTGTGGGGTTTAGGGTTAGGGTTTAGGGTATACGGTTTAGGGTTTTAGGGTTTTGGGGTTAGGGTATAGGGTTTCGGCCTTATATGGGGTTCAGCGATGCCTTCAGAGCGGGACATAAGAGGTTCTAACATAGGGACTTTATAGGGTTTGGGCTTGATAGTATAGTGAACGTCTAGGGTGGAATTTATAGATACATACGCAGTTGTAGATGGACTGTAGCTAGGAAAGCGCTGTAGGAATGCCACACTACCCATGTCACTTTGCAGGTTCAACCATGGATCATGGACCCTCTGAGCCTTTGGGTACAGGTGTTCACGACGTCGGTCATCTTCGCGTTTGTTGAAGTACACTCCAGACCCTATGTACTTGTGGAAGGCTATAAGTCTGCAGGGCTTGAAATGCCGCTGCAATTAGCACAGTGGCGCCCGGGATTTGGGCACCCCTCTTGGCCCAAAGCAGAAGCCAGCGAGATGCTTTGAAGAAGCCAGGCAGGCATATCATGAAGCACAAGTGTTCTCTAACCCTAAACCCTGAACCTTAAACCCTGAACTCTAGCGGAGACTGACGATATGACCTGGCTGTAGCTTGGGGATCTTTCCGTACCCATTATGGGAATAAGTGCTTTCTATAGGAGACCTAGGGATATGACCTGGTTGTAGGTTTAGGGATTTAGGGTATATTTTAAAGATTTAGGGTTTAGAGCTTAGGGTTTAGGGATTTAGGGTTTAGGGCTTGCAGCTTGCGATTTTCCTTACCTGAGCCATCGTCGAAACTCCTGGCATCCCCCTCGATAGCCCCTATGCACTCCCCTATATAACCCCTTCAAGGAGTTCAGACTGTAGCTCACCTAAACCCTAAACCCTAAACTGTGGGGAGAGGAAGGTCAGGATGAGACTTCATCAGGCCTCAGCATGCAGAAGGCGGCCACCCGGGTTTAGGCCCCTGACATTTAGGGTTTAGGGTTTAGGGTTACTGCAGGGGCCTAAATAACACGGCCAACATCATGTTGAGGTCTGTGAAGGTATAGTCCCCCTTAAGTAGACAGAATATGGTGCATATGGGGATCTTATTGTAATATACCCAGAGCGTATTCTATCTACTTAAGAGGGACTTTCCCCTATACCATACATGCAATAGGAAACTAGGACCATGCTCTACAGTATGAGTCAAGGTTATGTTGCTGAGACCTTCTTGTAAACGAGGGGGCGTTTGAGAGTGGGCTTGCCACCCAAAGCACGTATCACGGCTCGCAGCCCGAGCTTTAGGCTTTAGACAAGGCAGGCTATGATTCTTAGGGACCGCCGATAAAGGACCTGGAAGTGGTGGAAACCAACAAGGTTGGGCTGAGCCTATCTTTGCTCAGCCACAAAGGCTTTAGGGGTTCAGGGTTCGGATGTGTGGGCTTTCGGCGAAATCTCCAAACAGACAGCCTGCTGAAGCTCAGCTACAGACCTGCTTTTCGGGGGGTCACACGCAACTGGCTTTGCAACCTTGGCAAACGCAGTTTTGGTATTCCCCTCCCCACCAAACATGACAGTTTATACAATTCCCTTTTCAAGGACAGTATACGATGCTTTAATATACCATAAAATACTGTAATACACTTTAAGATACTGGAATATGCTACAATATACGATAGTCTTTGTAGGCATGTTTGCGCACTTCAAAGTCTGTCCAGGGGGAAGAACATATTTATCAAAACCGAATCACCTCCTCGCGTCTCTGAATATTTCCCACTCCCCAATACCAAACCCCTAGAAGGAATACTGAACATCATGAGGTGGGATTTTCATGTTATAGGGAAGGAATGTCTCCGCCCTAAACCCTAAACCTTAAGGCGTTGATAGTTATTAGCCCTCAAAGTGAAGTCATGGCCCTACAGCAGCTCCTAATATAAACTACCCGTGACCCATCTGGTAGAAGCCTGCCCCTTTTGCGGGCTTTTGATTGGGGGTTACGATTCAATGTGCGTGTATGTACATATATATATATACACATACATTTATTTATATGTGTGTATGTATATGTATATATGCACGTAAAATTACATCCATGTACATGTTTTATGAGGTGACCCAATAAAGGAGATGGGCCCTGCGTGATGGCCTGAATCGACTCCGTGTAAGCTACCCCTTCACCGCTTTCGTCATAAGCCCTACACAAACTCTGTAGTCCCCCTTAAATGGATAGAATACGGGATACATGGGAATCTTACTATGATTTTGGTCAATTCCAAAATCTATCTACTTAAGAGGGACTATAAAGTATAAAGCCAGAACTCCTAAACCCTAACCCTAAGCCCTAAAACCCTCAGCCCTAAACCCTAAAACGCTACACCCTGGAACCCTAAACCCTAACACCCTAAAACCGCCCAAAAAAACCTAGACCTCTAAACCCTAAAGCCCTAAACCCACTTGATGCCTTCCGTTGAGCTCCGGATACCGAAGGCCTGACGGGTCTTTGGGCTGACAGGGTTAGATCTTAGAGTTTGGGGGATCAGGGTTTTGGGTGTATGTACAACATGTTGGAACGGGATGCATGGCATAACCCTTGCCCATGCACCGTCTAAATATGCCTGAAGACCAACCGAATACTCTTAAGACCCTCTTGGACCTGCCTTCGTTCTCATGAACCAACCCGATCCCTCTTCAGGTAATCTACGGGAGTTAATGCTTAGGGTTCAGGGGTTTAGGGTTGGGGGTTTAATGGTACCTTCAGTAGGGAATGAGGGAATGGGTCCCTGCAGAAATCCCTAAACAGTGCTCGTTAATGATCCTTATAACCCATTCCTTCATTCCTTAGCAAAGCACCAAGGAGAAATTTCCAAGAAGAAGCACAAAGAATCATCAAGGGCAGGACGCCTAGTTTCTTGACACATCGTCGAAATCAAAATGGGGTCTAGAGTTGGTGCTCTATAGATACACAGATACAGAGGCTACCCAGGAATCAGGCCCAAGACTAGGTAGGACACTCCAAAAACCCAGATGCAAATGAAGTTCAGGGTTTAGGGTTTATTGTGGGGTTAGGGTTTAGGGTGGAATGGGTTCTTGCCTTGTAATTATATAGCCAATGCAAAGGTTAGAGACAGAAATTTCGGACCCCTCATGAAGCCTTGATCAGCACTCTAATCTCAGGAACTCATCATTAAGTCATAGCAAGCACTGAAACATTATGTGACTGTGGTCCCTATAGGCCCTCGTCAGTCATAAACATTTTACTCCCCTATATACACCTATATCGCCTATATTTCTCTGCATAGTTTTACATATCCCTATAACCCTACAAACACTTGGTCAAAAGCCGCGTGGCCGCCCAGGCATCAGCGGCATACCGCGTTCAGCCACCACCAGCGCCGCAACATCGTCTGCGGGCGCGCTGCCCTCGTGCTTTCGCGGTGGTGCGTATGGTGGGTGGGGTGATTGCGGAGGCTACTGTGTTGGGATCCTATGGGGGTGGCTACGTTATAAAGTATACCAGCTCCAAGGCCCCAAAAGGATACGATCTGGGGCATTCATCCAGATGTAACACAATTTTTGGGTGAAGCGAACATGATATGATCTGGGTCTCCCATCCAGATAAACACAATTTTGCATGAGGCTGTTAGAGATTCCATGAGGAACTTTCCAGCCGCTCCTTCCTGCCTTACTGGGAGTTAGTAGGGACTGAGGAAACACCTTACGCAGGATTTAGGGTTAGTAGGGAGTAAAGGAACGTATTACATACGGATCAGGGTTAGTAGGGAATAAGGGAAATTGCAGGGATCACCAACCATTCCAGTGCGCGACAGTCACCAGCAAACCAAGTTGCCAAGTTTCCCAACCCAAACCCTAAATCCTAAGCCCTCAACCCTAAAACCCTAAACCCTCCACTGAGCCCAAAGTTCAAAGTGTACCTACCAAGCTAGGAAGACAATAAGGTCCCATCAATTGGTACTACCAGTTAAACAGGGCCCATCAAGTTGAAAATTGAATTCGGGTATTGCTATTGAAGCTGATGATAATACAGCAGCTCCGTAAACCCTGGAAAACAGCCAAATGGTTTAGATTATGCTGGGCTTATGTTGGCAAGGTTTAGGGGTTTGGGGTTTCAGGCCAAATCCTGGTTCCATTTCTAAAGCCCTAACCTAACACCCCCCACCTAAACCTAAGAGAACCTCTGTGCAAAGCCCCGCAATTTAGGGTTTAGGGTTCACCCCCAGAATAAGCCCCGACACTCTACCTGTAAAACATTCAAATCAAGCAGGCCATCATGCTAATACTTTGGAGGCTTGGGTAAAAGTTATTTACAAGCCCGCGAGATATTTGCAGCTCCCCAAAACCCCCAAGCGCAAACCCTGAACCCTAAACCCTACATAGCCTCTACGTATCCCTGCGCAATCCTTTTTGGCCTCTTGTTTATTGGAGCTCCATCCCTCAGCCCCCTACATATTCGTATATACAAATATGTCTATGTAACCCCTCATAGGCCCCGGTAAAGAAACCCGTACACTTCCCCCAAACCCTACATCCTAAACCCTAAGCCCTAAATCCTCAACTTTACGCCCTAAACCCCTTTAAACCATAAACCCTGAACCCTAAACCCTAAATCCTAAACCCTAAATCCTAAACCCTATCAACCCTGCACTCCTAAACCTTACGCACCCAGTAGCCGGGTAGAGGCGTCGAAGCGCCGCTTGGCCGACACGGTCAGGCCGTTGCCATCCGGCAGCCTACACTTTGAGGTTTTAGGGTTTAGGGGTTTAGGGTTGACGATTTCGGGGTTTAGGGTTTTGGGGTTCAGCACTTTAAGAGTTTTGGGGGGATGGGGCTTAGGGTTTAGGAATAAGAATTTAGGGCTGAGGTTTTAG